TAGGTCTTCATATAGGTCTAGTTTGAGAAAGTTTTTTGTGGGATGTTGTGAATAAGTGAGACGTCTTCTGGGATATTGAGAGTGTGATTGTGTTCTTTAAGATGTTGAGAGAAAGTGGAAGTATTTTCTCTTTTTGTGTGCTCTAAAGAGCGTGAAGACAATGATCTACATGTTCTTTCTATGTAGGTAGCATCACAATCAGAACATTTTAATCTATACACACCACTACGGTTCATATAGTTGATGGATTCTTTGGAATTGGATATATACTGACCCAAGTTATTAGGTACTTTAAATGAAACATAAATATTTTCAACCGAACGTTTGATTAGATTTCTAATATCCCCAGAAAGACTCTCATGGTGATAAGGGAGTGAAACATAATTGGGTTTGATGGTAGGATCCCTGGGGAACGCAGTCTCCTGCAAGTTCCTACGACGTTTTCTATAAATGAGTTTATTGATAATGTTATGATTATAACCGTTGTTGACTGCTATTTGTCTGATAATATTTAGTTGTTTTGTGTAGTTTGAATGAGAAAGTGGAATGGTTTCCAGGCGACGGATGTAATTGTGAAAAGCAGCATATTTATGAGACATGGGGTGGTTGGATGAGAAGGGTATTACATGGTCAGTCTGTGTTCTTAGCAAATTAGAAATCGTAGTTTCCTTCTATTAAAACCAAATTTTTATTTCTTTACAATCCAGTATATTTCTTTACAATCCGTTATAAACTAGTACACTTTACACATTGCAAATCCGTGTGTTAGTTTCTATAAGAAAGTTTTCCTGAGGCTGGTGAAATAAGCTTGCCGATTTTGTCTACCACAGTATTATAATAACAAATCATTGAATCGGTTATTTCGAAAAGGCCACTACTCCAGAAATGACAGTTTTACAGGAGACGAAAGAAAAAACGTTTTATTTTGGTATTAATGAAGATATCTTTCTCTTTTTGGAGTAAGGTCTCAAAATGTGATATGGCGAAATTTCGTTAACAAATCCAACATAAAAAAGACATAGGTACACTGTAAAAAATAATTTAGTTTTTGGAGTTGTGGCCTTTTCCAAACAAACACTGATGATTTTATGAATACTAATAGAAACTCCAATATTATTAAGGAAAAAATTTATCAGGTGGCAACAAAATATGTTGAAGGAATAGTCTTTTAGTAATCTTCCTCTGGTGGTTCATCACTTTTAGTGGTAGGCCATAAAATCAGCTCATTATAAAAAAACATTTTGTCTTCTGGCACATATTGTTCAAATTTCTTGATGTTGTCCATTTTTTTTTCCAATTAATAGGGATTTTTTCTGTGTAAGCAGACTCTGTTGGCAAAGTAGGACAAACTTTAGCTGGTTTTCCCAAGGAAAATTCATGTAACATAAGCCCATCGATAAATAGACGTACTTTAACAATTCTTGCTTTTTATTGTCATTTTCGAACTCATTATATTTAGAAGTTTAAAAAGTTGTTGTCTCGTGTTTGGTTCTTTTCCATAGGAGTCAATGGAGAGTACGGTTTTCTTATAATGCATGGGTCATCATTTTTTGAATTTCAAAATTGTTTCATTTTTACCAGTTCTATTGAAAAAAGAGATTTTATTGACGATTTTTTTATCAACTCGTAATATTCTTCAGGAAAAAAATTCGGTCCTGCTTGCAAATTAGTCTTTTTGCTACCCCGAAGTCTCTATCACACACACACACACGCAGCGATCAACCCTTCCTCTAGGAACAAGTATGGGATCCACATGTCCGAAGATCAAACCGGTCACACTTCACTAGTTGAAGTGGTCACACTTAACTAGTTGAAGTGGTACCTATCTGACCCCCAGGCTTTTCTTCCACCCCTCCTTATCGTGTGACTAACGTGTGGAGGCTTATGATCTTAAAGTTATTTAAGACGCCCTGAGTAATGAGACACCTTCTGTTTTTATTGACTGTGATTATGCCACCTATCTGTAGGGGTAGCCACATCTAGGCTTTTCTCCCTATTTACTTTACTGACTCGATTGATTTTACTCTACTTCACTTCGGGACTTAAATCCATAAAAGAAAAAAGAAAAAATAGCGTGTGTTCCGTCAATAAGAGTGTGTGCTCGGTCACTCAACCGCCGATTTGGCAAAATATATTTTGTTCTCATCGCCGGCTGGACGCCCGAGATGTGTCCGGTCACCGAGCCCATGCTTGCCGCTCAGTGCTCGGGTGTCACGAAGTGGATCAGCATTCACTTGATCCGCCTTAAGGGCCTAATCCGCATCAGCGGTATATAGAAGGCGGGACCGGCCTTCTATATAGAAAAACAGTATGAGTTGATTATTACGTAAAAACGTTTAATAAAAAGAGTTAAGATTTGAAAGTACTTAATATTAAAAGAAAACAACCATTTTTTGGGTTTGGGGGTCTTCCTTGTGACATTGGGACCACAAAATTCCGGCACAATTTTTACCCTTTTATTTCTTACATGCTATGGTGTGTGGGTGTATTGGGGTGTGCATTGCAGGGTGTATAGAGCCTCCACACCTCCACACACCCCGTTGTATATTGTCCTTATCTAAGTGCCTTGGCACCTGTATTCTCTCGCCAGAGTAAACCTAAAAAGGCAGATATTTTTTTGATTGGTTGTTTTCTGATGACTGCATTCTTTTTGTTTGACGTCCTTAACACACTGCTCTCAGCTCTCTTAACACACTGCTTGGGTGGCTGTTTAACCCATTGAATAGTTCGTATGCTTTCTTGTCTAGCACGTGTAGAATTCTGGTTTGTCCTAAGTCTCTGTATACATTTCTCAGGTACGCATTTCGGTAGCTTCAGGGCATCTCTTATTAATTGATTTTGCGCTGTTTGTATGTATTTCCTGTTTGATGTGCAGGTGTGTCCCCACGCTGCAGACGCATACGAAATGACTGGCAGGATGATACTATATGCAATCCTGATTTTGGTTTTGAATCTCAGTTTGCTTGTTTTACCAATGGGCGATGAGAGCTGACTTTTCAGCGCTTTGGCTCTATACGTTTGTTGATTTACATGTTGGGTGAATGTAAGTTTCTTGTCGAGCAACACCCCTAGGTATTTTGCCTCGTTGGTCCAATCTACTGGGGTGTTCTCAATCGTGAGTTCTTGGTTTGGTACACTTTGTCTGTGACTAAACATTACAGCTTGTGTTTTGTCCGGGTTTAAGGCTATTTTCCATTTATGTACCATCTTTGGAATCTATTCAGTGCTCTCTGCAGATGATTAGCTGCATGATCTGGATTTCTCCAGCTAACAGCTATTGCTGTGTCGTCAGAGTAAAGACTTAGCAGGGATCCTGGTTCTTTTGGCGTGTCGGCCGTGTAGACGGTGTACAGGTACGGTGATAGCACAGCTCCCTGAGGTACACCTGTTCTGTTGGCTAGGTTTGATCCAAGTAGGCATATCATCGTATCGGTGTTCATTTTGTAAATGAGTCGTAAATGGAAGGAATGAATAGTCTCTGATTGGAAAATAATGAAAAATGTAATTGAACTTTCCTGACGAAGCAAGAGAAGCTGCACACTTTATTAGGTCCTTTGTGGGCCTGGCCTTTGCGAAATAGTTCTGCAACTGCAACTCGTTTTGCAAGGTCCTTTGTGGGCCTGGCCTTTGCGAAATAGTTCTGCAACTGCAACTCGTTTTGAAAGTGGTACTTTTAACTTTCTCACAAGTTCTTTACAAGCAGAACATACATCTGCTACAACTTGAGGGCGACCAAAAGAGTACGTAAAATTTACAGGAAAATACTTTAAATAAAAACTGTATTTCACGTTAGATTCCGAAAATTGTTCGATAAACAATTCATCTGATATTAAATTATGCCTAGATTTAACAGATTTACCTCTATTATCTCTTGGAGTAGATCCAGTCACTAGTAGGAGGCATAATCTTCTGACATGCTTTTCGTCAAGACCATATAAATTTAAGAAAGCTTTCTTACATACTTGCTTACGTACTTCTTTTAAACAAACATGAAAAAAACAAATTATTGGGTCTCTCAATACGTTTAATGGCATTCTGAGATTTCTTATTCCCTTAATGGGAGTTACTTCAAACATATTTTTTAAGTACGAGTCTTGTGAGTTTTTGTCGTCAAAGTCATGTAACGACGTAAACAACGCATTCTTGTCTATTTCCGAAAAATGTTCACATTTCTTCCGAAAAGTACAGTCGATTCCAGGTTTTCACGCCATAACTTGTTTTCCCACGTGATTAATATGGGCTTAGCTCCTTAACTTTAGCCTTCTTAATAACTTCACTTCTATACAGGGCCCGATTAATAATACCTTTATTTCTTTTCCTTTGTTTATTTTCAATAATGAAAACTGGTCTCAATATACAATGGAACCTAATCGTACTAAAGATAATCATCAACTGGTCTAGGAAACTAGGAAGGTCTGCGACCGTAACTACTAAAAGACATGTCCGTCGCGCGCAGTTTATTTCGAAAACGCCACATCTCTGGAGACGTGGCCTTTCCGAAATTAACATAGAAACTTGCCTGTCAATAATAATAGTACGAACAGCGAAGATGTGGCGTTTTTACGTGTAATAAAACTTAAAGGATATTCTGAACAAAATGGCAAAGTTAACTCATTTTGTGGAATTGATGGAGATGTAGATTTTTCGAAATAACCGATTCAATTATTTTAGCGAATTCCTCCCTTCAGGATTTTTATTTTCTTTTTAATTTTCTTGTATCGAAAAATTTTATTTTCACACGTTTGCTTTAATTAAAGTGTCATTACTTATTTTAGGATAAACAATAATAATGAAATTTAATAGTCAATACTTAAACGTTTTGTGATATGATGTGGCCCATATATTATATTATTATAATTTTGTAAAGGATTTTTTAAATATTGAAATTGAATATAAATTATTTAATGTTGATATGTTATTAACCTTGATAAAGGTTAATTTTCTTTAAATAAGTTCATTTGTAGTAATAAAATAAAAAATTTACACTATTATATTTTCAGGTCATCCCAATGTCAAACTCTTTATATCGCATGGTGGAATGCTAGGTACTATGGAGGCTGTTTACTGTGGGGTACCTATTTTGGTTATGCCACAGTTTGGTGACCAATTCAGCAATGCTGTAGCTTTAGAAGCTAATGGAGGTGGAGTTGTGCTTAGAACGAGTGATGTAACCGAAGAAACTGCATACAGGGCTATAAGACAGGCGATTAAAATGAAGTGAGTATATTTAACTCAGTTATTTATGAAACAAAGTAGGTCATAAAACTTAAATTTTTATAGGAGAAACAAAAAAGCGTTTCCAGAAGAATAGGGGCCGATTGTCCAAACATTAGTTAAAACTTGATTGTAATCAAATATTTAATTACAATCAAATACGTCACAGCATTTGTCAAAATTACTAAAAATTGCTTAATGTTATTATTTATTTGTAAATAAAAACATGAATTTAACACCAAAAAGAGTTTAATTATGATTTATTTTAAATTAAAACGCAAAATAATAAAATTAAATAAAATAAATCAGTCAACATAACCTCAAAACGTGACGTATTTGATTTTAATTAAATATTTGATTACAATTAAATATTAATTAGCGTTCAAACAATTGGCCCTAGATGTTATAAATTATTTAAAACATAAAATACTGACAATAGGGTTTAAATAAAACATGACAAGGGTAAATATTACCCTTGTCATGTAACTCTAACCTCCTGAGTAGGGGACTCAGCTCGGCTGTTCAGACTTTCTACACTAAGTATATCCATTGAGAATTTATTAATTTTATACTTTGATCAACATTACTCTTTTATACTTTAATAATGTACAAAACTAGCATACTTAGGTTAAATTGATCTACAGTTGGCGTTGTTTACACTTTCCACGCCTATTTGTAATTTAGATATACCATCACCACAGTTGTATATTTCAACATCTTCCACTGGTGGTCAGTTGGTCTTGAGTAACGCTTTGATATATTAATTTTATAGGTCTCCCACTGACTGGGTTTAACTGAACTACTACTTAACCCATTTACATACTTTGCTGTCAATTTTGATTTTAATTTTTAGTATTTTAATTACTTAGTCAAATTTCTTCTTTTCTACAGTATTGATAGTGCTTGTAGACTCTTTTATTATAGTCAACTACCCACTGTCTAATATATTGTTTAGTCTATTTTTGGCATTCATACTTTACGTCGACTTCAGCCGCTCTCAAACTACTACTATTACTACTAAGGATTTCCACAGTTTTCACTGTCTTATTTCACTCAACCGTTTTCTCCAATTTTCTCTGACATTCCAGTCTCCATCTCACAGGGTTCTTTTTTCCATAGCCTCGTCGATTTCGTCTCTGAATGACCTTCGGGGTCTTCCTCTCTTTCTTCTTCCGATCGGGCTCCATTCTGTGATTTTGTTTATCCAGCGTCCTCTGTCCGCTCTTCTGACATGGCCGTACCAGGATAGTCTCTTTTCCTCTATATAGTCGATTATGTCTGATTGCACTCCCATTCTCCGCTTAATCTCTGCGTTTTTAATTTTGTCTCTTTTGTAAGTCTACAGCTTTTTCTCAGGAACTCCATTTCTACTGCTCTTATTTTACCTCTATTTCTCTTATTTGTTGTCCAGTTTTCGGATCCATATGTCAGGATACTTCTTGTCAGGGTATTATTTATTCTCTTTTTTGTCTTTATAGTAATGTTCTTATCCCACAGCACTGAATTTAGTTGTCTTATACAGTTTCTTGTTTGTCTTAGTCTGTTGTTTATATCTTCTTCTGTTGTTCCATTGTTCGATATTATGGTTCCTAAATACTTGAATTTTTGTGTTCCATTTACTTGTCTTCCCTCGTCTATCTCTAGGTTTCTCATATCCTTGTTTTCTGTTGTTAGGTATTCGGTTTTCTCTAAGTTTATTTCCATTCCGTTGTTTTTATATTCTTCTTCTAGTTTTCTGAATATAAAGCTAAGATCTTCTTCATCTTGTGCGATGACTACTTGATCTTCTGCAAAAACTTAAGGTCTATAGGTATTCGTCTCTTACTGGTATGCCCATTCCTTCGCACTTTCTCCTCCATGGTTTGAGTGTCTTTTCCAAGAATATTTTAAACAGAGTAGAGGACGTAGCACAGCCTTTTAGAAGTCCTTTTGTTGTCTTAAATGGATTGTAGGCTTTATTTCCACATTTAATAGCTACTTTGTTTTCTTTGTACAGTGCTTTAGCTGCTTTTATTAGTGTTTGTCGGATTCCGAGATTATTCATTGCTTCCCCTAATTTGACTCTACGTATTGAGTCGTATGCTTTCTTTAGATTAACAAACGCCAGATGTACCGGTCTACCTTTTGCCATTTTCTTCTCTATCAGTTGTTCTAATGTGTACGTAAGATCTAATCATGATTTTCCTACTGTGAACCATGCTTGGTCTTCTCCAATTTTTCCTATTATTTCAGTTTCTAGTTTTTCCTTGGTAATTTTCCCGTAAATTCTACCTACCGACGATATTATACTAATTCCTCTATAGTTTTCACATTTTTCCTGTTTCCTTTCTTATGTATGGATGTTATGTATGCTTGCGTCCATTCCGCAGGTATTTTCTCTCCATTTAGTCCTCTTTCTTATATTCTGTGTAGCATGCGGAATAAGTTTTATGTTCCGTTTTTATTTAGTTCGTTTGGTATCCCTCCGGGTCCTTTGGCTTTTTTGTTCTTCAATGTCTTGATTGCTCTCTTAACTTCTGTCAGACTTATTTCTATCTGGTCGTATGTCCCATTTCCTGCATGTTCTGTATTCTCTTCCCAAAATTGGGGATGGTTTTCTGTATGTAGTTCTACGTGGTATTCTTGCCACTCGTTTTCACTAATTTTGCCGATCTGGGTTTTCTCTGTCTTATTTCGTTGGAGTGCTTTTATTATTCGCCATGATTCTGAATTTTCTCGTTCCTCCGATATGTCGTTCTCTCTCTGAGCATGCTTGTTCCCATCGTTCGTTCGTTTCATGTGTTACTCTTTTCTTTACCTCTCTATTTTTCGTTCTATATAGGTCTAAGTCTTCCTGTTTTTTGGTGTTTTGGTATTTTATGTGTAGTTTTTTCTTTTCTTTTATACATTTCAATGTGTCTTCCCTTAATTTGATATTCTGATGGGTGTTCCTTTGGTCGTCTTCTCCAAGAGCTTCTAAGGCCGTTGAAATCAGGCAGGTTTTTATGTTAAATGTTCATGCATTCCATTTAACGTGTCATATCTGAATTCTTCTAGTTTTTGGTCTAGTCTTCTTTTGTATAGATCTTTTATTGATTCTTCCTGTAATATATGTAATTTGAGCCTCTTTTCGTTTATTGTCGTTCCCGTTGTAACAATCGATGTATGTTTTTGTTTTGTCCAGATATAGGGGAATTCCATCCATGCCACCACAAGTTTGTGATCTGTTCCATATTCTGCCCCTCTTTTCACTCTGGTGTCTTTCACTTTGATAAAGCTTTTGTGGTTTATGATAATGTAGTCAATAATGAATCTTAGTTTTCTTGTCTCTTGGGTCCATGTGTACTTATGTATATTTTTGTGTTTGTAGAATCCGTTCATAATTTTCAAATCATTTACTTCACATAGTTCTATTAATCTTTCTCCGTTGTCATTAATTGTGTCTTCTCCAAATGGACCAACTGTTTTGTCATTGTCTTTTCTTCCGACTATTCCATTTAGATCCCCCACTATTATTATTTCTTGTTTAGGTTTTCCCTTATTCATTTGTTCCTGAAGTTGTTCGATAAATTGTTCTTTCTCATTGGCTGAACTGTTTTCCGTTGGACCGTATGTTGCTAGTATTATAATTTCTCTGCCATACATCTTGATTTTCAGTTTAGCAATTCTCTCGTTTATGGGTTCCCAGTCGTCTATAGATTTTTCCCATTTCTCCTTTAGTAGAATTCCAACTCCAGCTTTTGCGCGGTCTTTCTTTTCTACTCCGCTCCAACAATGGATTAGTTTCCCTATTCTTTCAGTGTCATTTCCTTTCTTTTTTGTTTCCGTTGTGACGAGGATATCGAGATTCATCTTTTCGATTTCTGATGTTACTTCACTGGCTTTTGTTCTCCAGCCCTGCACATTCCATGTGCCGATTCTTAGCTTTTGCAGCCGCCCACTCTGGGTCAGACGCTACTATTGTCAGTTGGTGTACGTCGGGTATTTCATTTACCCGATACCACCCATATCTGGGAGGCGTTCCCCTATCCGCCACCTGGGGACGCGTCCGGTAGAGGACTGACATCCTCCTCGGAGCTCTCAAACTAACACCCTAATTATTATAGACAGGTTTGAGTGTGAGTTCTGGATTATGCAATCCACTTAAAATATTTTATATAATTTCATATTTTATCAGTTGACTTTCTATGGTAGTGTCAGTTGGACCTTTGGTCAGTGCTTAGTTTCATAGAATTTTGAAATGTGCAGATCACATTTCCATGATTGTGACTGCCCATCCAAGCTGTCATATGTCACATGTCACCTATACATTTCCGGTAAGACCAGGAGCCATTCTGTCTCCGGTTTCCATTCATAATGTAGCTTTGCCTATTTTAAAAATTTTAAAGTGTTTATCCTTGTGTAGTGTAGTATGATGTACAATTTTATGTGTATACCATTTTACTCTTGTTGGTCACAATTGACAAAGTAAGTCTAAAACGATAATTATTTAAAAACTTTTATCAACCATCAACTTCGATTTTTTATCGAAGTTAATTAATTTGTTCAGGTAAAAAACGTTTCTTGTCTTATTTCAGATTCCCTGAACAAACTGTAGGAAGTGAAAGTACTTGGGCAAGATTAAATTAATAAAACTGTGCTCGATATTTGCGTTTTATTTGATCAAAGTTTATTTATTCGAGCAGTCAATCTTTTATCAATATCAATAAATGTCCATAAAAAAATAGTATTTTATTTAAACTTGCTTAAGTAATAATGGTGCTTCATATACATTATTAAATATATTTTTTCTAAATATTTTTAACAGATATTCAAATAAATGTTTTGAAATTTAATTTGTTTTAGAGATCAAGCAATTGCCTTATCTGAACGATTCAAAGACCGCCCGCTGCCGCCATTGGAGACTGCTGTTTATTGGACAGAATACGTTGTGAAACATAAAGGAGCACCTTTCATGAAAACTGCTGCTGTAGATATGCCTTTCTATCAATATTATTTACTAGATGTTCTTGCGTTCATATTTGCAATTTTAGGGCTTATTATTTATTTGGCATTCTATATTACAAGATTGATATTAAAAATGTTACTCAGCGTTTCAGGTAAAAAAGTAAAAATTGAGTAATAATGTATAAAGACTGAATTAAGTTGTAATAAGGTTATTAAAATAAAAATGAAAAATAAACATGTCTTTTATTTAAAAATAAATAAAAAGTAATAAAATTATTTAACTATAAATTTAAGGATAATCGAGGATCACTACCTAACTTAAGTGCAAATACAGGACCATCAATGTTAAAAGCTGAAGTGGAAAAAGCCATACACTAAACCAGAAAGAACAAAGCCAGTGGACGAGATCAAATATACAGCGAATGGCTAAAATTACTCTTAAATAACAATATAAAAGAACTCACTGTACTTTTCAATCAAATATATGATACCAGTGAAATTCCATCGGACTGGTTAAAATCGATCTTTATTCCTCTACCTAAGAAACCAAACATTAAGAAATGTAGCGATTGTAGACTCATTAATTTAATGAGCCATGTAATTAAAATACTGCTGCATATTCTTCTAAACCGAATTAACAACAAGTGCGAAGAAATAATTAGTCAAGAGCAGTTCGGGTTCCGGAGATGCCTTGGAACTAGAGAAGCACTATTTTCTATGCAAACACTCCTTTAACGATGTTGGGAGGTAAAAAAACCCGTATATATGTGCTTCATTGATTTTGAAAAGGCATCTGATTGCGTTCAGCATACCAGACTAATTACCGCTTTGTAGAGCATCCAACTAGATGAGAACGACATCAAGACTTATTGCCAAACTTTACTGGAACCAAACATCCATTATTAATACCAACAACAGAGAATCAAAGCCAATCAGTATTGAACGAGGCGTAACACAAGGCTGTATACTATCTCCCATTCTCTTTAACGTGTATTCTGAGATTCTATTTAGGGAAGCTTTAAAAGATCAAAAAGGAATTATCATAGGAGGAGAAAGAATTAACAATATACGGTACGCCGACGATACTGTGCTTCTAGCTGAAAACATCGACGATCTGCAGGAGCTTATCAATAGAGTTGACATGGAATGCACAAATTGGGGACTGTCGATAAATATCGATAAAACTAAATACATGGTGACCAGTAAAGTGGATATCGGCGCGATCCAACTGATATTAAACCAACAACCGCTGCAGAGAGTTCAGAGATTCAAATACCTTGGATGTTGATTTACCCAAAATCTAGATCCATCATTCGAAATTAGATCTAGAATTGAACAGGCAAGAAACTCATTTCAAAAATTCAAGCCTCTATTATCCAATAACTCATTAAATTTGGAAATCCGTGAAAAGTCATGAATAAAATCATGAATAAAATCGAGGCGTTTGAGATGTGATTGTATCGAAGGAACTAAAAATTCCATGTACTAGCAGAACCAGAAACGAAGAAGTTCTTCGAAGAATGAGACATCAACGAACTCTATTAAATATTATTAAGAGGCGTGAACTAGAATATCTTGGACATATAATTAGAGGACCAAGATATGAGTTCCTTCGGCTAATTCTCAACGGTAAAATCGAAGGAAAGAAATGGATAGGACGGAAGAAACTCTCTTGGTTGAGGAATTTGCGGCAGTGGACAGGTTTGACAGCAGACCAATTGCTACACGTAGCCCAAGACCGAGATCAGTATAATAATATTATAAGCATGGTAGTCGCCGACGTTTCGTAGGGATATGGTACTCTAAGAAGAAGAATAAAATTATAGAAAACCTCTCTATCCCGCGACCAAGATAATTTAGCAGTTGCTTTTCTTTCTCCTTAGCTTAGATAAAATTGTATTTCTATTTTAGTTTTAGTTGTCAATTTGTTTATAAAATTAATTTAATAATACTAAACAACTGCATAGTTCCCATGATCTCAATATGTTGAGATTAATGGTTTATTTTATTCATAGCTGCTTTAAAAATATTAGGGTTTTCTTCGGCCTTAACAACCAAAGACTAAAAATGGAGGAATATGTGAATCAGGATATTACCACTGAAGCATACAAATCCTTTAAAGAACTCAAAGGGTAGCAAAAACCATGCACCAATATTTTTTGTAGGAATAAAACAAAGTGTAACCATTGTTGATGTAACCATAACTAAACTACTTTGAGAGTTTGCTGACAGAATCCTGGACATTTGTGATATAAGCACGGTTTGGGCAATATGCGGCACTGTGTGACCTATTGTTTGTCTAGATCAGGGGTGTCCAACTTGCAATGCCTCAAGGACCAAAACTAAAACCTTTGATGTTATCGCGGGCCATATAATAATTTTGTTACAAGTAATAACAAAATAAAATAAGGTATAAAAATAATTAAAACAAAAAAGAGTATTATTTCTTTTATTGCTCAACAACTACATTTTTTTCTAAACGGAAAATTTATTGATAACACTTTTCAATAATCAAGAAATATATTGCAAAAGCAACGAAAAAGATGTATCCAATTAGTGTGAGGACTGTGGTCGATCGGCTTCATCCACCAATGAAGAAATGTCCACCTCCAGTTCAGTTGTAGACACTCTCATAAGATGACGTAAAGAAGAAACGGTAAGGTTGCTTCTGTTTTTATTTTTTATGTATTTTATGGAGGAAAAGGCACTTTTACATGTATATGTGCTTTCGAACATTGACGCTATTTTCAGTCCAAAATCTCGCAGGTTTGGGAATTTCTCCTTTGACAGTATTTTGAAAAATTCAGGTCCCTTTTCTTGTCTGGTAATTAGGAACATGTCTGCTTGAAGATCAGATAACTCAAGCTGTAAGTTGGGTTGTTGATCATCAATGGTTGCTCCAAGAGGGTTATTAAAAAGTAGTACACTGCTTTTGAGACTTTTAATTTCTTTAAATCTTGTATTGAATTCATCAATAAATTGTTCAATTTGTGAAATGCAGGAAAAAAACTCAATATTTTCCTCACCGTTGAATTCTTCTGCTATTTGCAGACAGTCAGGGAAGCGCGTCAGGTTGTTCTTTTCCAAAGCACGTTTAAACACGTTCAGCTAATTCCGGAATCCGTTTATCATTCCGATCAAATCTGAAACCGTCTGGTTTCTTCCTTGAAGACTCAAGTTTAACATGTTAAGATGATTAGTCAGATCTATTAAAAAATCTAACTGTCTTAAGAGTTCTGGATCGTTAAACTTCTCTTCCAGTTTAGTTGTGTAAGATGAATTTTGTTGAGGAATGCAGGGATTTCCTCTCTTATGGCAAAAAATCGTTCCACACACTTTCCTGCACTCAGCCAACTTACATCGTTGTACATTACCAAGTCTCCATACTCAACCCCTGTTTCCTCTAAAAACTGCTTAAGTTGCCTGTTTAAAAGAGATCGATTTGCACCTCTAATCATATTTACAATCTTAATCACGGTTTGGAAAACTTGATCTTTCTTGACTGATTTTCCACATAAAGCTCCCTGATGTGTAATATAATAAATTGTTGGGCAATTGACACCATTCTCTTGAAGCAGACCCACTAATCCAATTTTTTTTACCTGTCATTGATGGGGCCCGTCTGTTGCTATGGCTGAACATTTATCAAAGCCTCCAATTCTGTAAACTGTTTTCTTCACAGCCTCATAGATGTTTTTCCTTTTGTTGTGCCATAAAGAGGACAAATATTAAATAACTCCTTTTTACTGGTAAAATCATCAATAGTAGTACGCACAAATATTAATGGCTAACTAACATCGGTTTGATCAGTGCATTCATCCAAACAAAGTGAGAAATATGAACTTTTCTTAACCAGGCTAAGCATAGATTTTTCTATTTGCTCACCCATAGCAACAATCCTTCTTTGTATAGTTTGATTTAAAAGTGGCACTGATTTAAATTTCTCCACCATTTTAGAATCACTGAAAGCTTTGGCCATTTCAGCAGCATATTTTTTTTATCAAATTGCCATCAGTAAAAAGTTTTTTCCCTTTGCCAGCTAAGCGACACGGCATAAGATGCATGCAAAGAATGCATTTGAAAGTGTAATATTTTACTGAACATACCAGTTTGCTGCTTAAGCTTTTTCTTCAAATCTGCAATTAGAGCACGCCGACTTTCATTCATGTACGTAGCATACTTATTTTCATGCACTGTTGTGTAATGTCTTCTCACATTATATTCTTTAGATACTAAAACAACATTCATACTTACTAAGCACTGCAACTTTCCATTCTTGTTGGCAATCAAGTAATCGCTCTCCCAACTTTCTTTGTAAATTCTGTTCTTACTATCAATTTTCCGTTTTACACTCATTATTGTATAAGAGGAATCAAGACAAAGAATTAATCAAGTTGACTGTTCACTAGCAACGTAATAGATTAGCCGACTAACCTACGTGTGAGTAGCACACTGGCACGATGGCGGCTGGCGACGGATGGTAAGCAGTGGGAAGTGTGGCCTTCGTGAACTGTGATGCGCAGTAATCAGTGCAGTTCTCATAGTGGTGGAGGACGATGATGTTCGTTACACGTCTGCGAAGCGGCACGCGGTACAGTACTTGTGATGTAAAAACACTGCTAAACCATAAAATTAATTAAAAAATCTTTTTTCACAGTGGCAGCATTTAAAGAAAATATATGCTTTTTGAAAATCTTACGTGGGTCACAACAAATAGCCTCGCGGGCCGGATGCGGCCCGCGGTCTGCCAATTGGACAACCCTGGTCTAGATGATCCCTGTGTTAAAATTGTATCAATAATTAAATTAAAAAGCAAATAATTAATTCTTTTAAATTCCAAAAGTACAGAGGACCAGATTTTACCCAATAACCACTAAAACTAATCCAAAAAAATATTAGATCAAGACAGAACTCCTCAAAAATAGAGATCAGGCATCCTAATACCTCTCTTCGGAAAGTTCGTAATTTATTATACACAACACTAAAATTAATAACCAAGGTAATAACAAATAAACTGAATAAAATTATAATACTAGCAGAAAAATAACAAGCTTATAGGACGGAAAGATCATGCGCCAATGCTATATTTATAATAAAGCAAATGCGACACAAATCATTAGAGAACTACAAACCAGTATGTCTCGTGGACCTTACGAAAGCATCTGACTGGGTCAA